GCCGCGTCGCTGGCTTCTCTCTTGTACGTCCATCCAAAGAGCAGATTCGTAGGTCTACCCAGCCGACTCCGACCAAACTGTTATGCTCATATTCGCCGCTATGATTTTCAGCGCAGGCGACGTGCATATGATCTTCGCTACCGAAAGCGAAGCACTCTGGGCTCTTCCGACCAATCAGTAAGAGCGAAGGTAAACGACCGTTTTTGTTTTGTTTGCGCTCGCTCGTCACTCCAAGCTTTCAAACCGTTACGCGCGTGCTAAAATCGAAAGTGCGGATTATACGGCAGTATTAGCAGTACGGTGCGATGCTGCTGCGCGCTTATAATAATTAGAGATGTACGTCTCTAATTTGACAGAGATTCTGCCGAGTGTTTTGCGTGCCTCATGACGGCGTATTACGGAGTCTACAGCGCGGCGAAGTAACCTCGGAGTGCTCATTCTTCCGCTTTCCAACAGACGACAGGTGAACTTCTATATCAATTTTTTTTTTTTTTGTCAGCGTTCGAAATTCGACTTTTCCATCAGAGCATCAAAATGGATTGCGTATGCAAATCGCCAGGGCTTTGGAAGCCTGCCCGGCTTGCCGGCGAGCAAGCTGCGCCAGCGTCGTTTGTGCAGCGAGCACTTCGGTGCTACCGTGTTTGCAAGTTGTGGGAAGATTCGTTTGTGGAAAAACGCGTGCCCCACCGTTCTTGTTGCGAATCCGTTGCTGCAAGGACTTGCTCCTCTGGGTGAGTTGCTGTCAGAGTAATCTTCAGTTAATTTGACAGCTTCGTGTTCATATGTTAGGATAGAGTACCGATAAAGCACCTACAGTCAGAGATGTAGACACTCCAAAACAGTAGTTGTTTTCTTTTTTTCTTAATTGCATTGCCTATTAGCGAGTTTGTTTATGGTTTATTTATCGTTTATTCTTATGCAGCTCACCTGCGAGCCTTTTCCTTTATTTCGGTGTTGATTTGTTTGTTTGGGTATTCAGAAGTTTAGTTTGTGGGAGTTGTTTATAGAGCATTTAGAGAATTCGATGATAAGTGCTTTTCTCTTAGTTTGTACATTAAAGTAATTAATATCGTTTTACATGTTTGACAACTTTACTGTGTTTACTGCCTACTACAGTTCTTGGTTCCCCTTTGAGGGCGGTGGACTGCCGACGGAGTTTGTAGATGCGTGTTTGAAATACCGCAGCTCATTTGAATGGGGTTCAATAAAAAATACATTTAAATGAACGTGCTGTTTCTGTTTGATCGCACTGGTAATATCACGTGAAGCGCAGTTGTTGTGAAGTATATCGCGCGCGGCTCGTCTGCTAGACCGGTGCCGTGCTGGCCGCTGACAGCGGCCGGCGCGGCACCAGCCTAGCAAACAAACCAGAAAAAAAGAAAAAAAAAAAGAACCCGGGGGGAAGGGGGGGGGGGGGAGGAGGAGGAGGACGGAGGGCGCACGCCAACGGCAGTGGTGGCGCCATCTGGCAGCCTTTCGAGACCAATTTTAGTCTCCGACCATACGTATGTTCGCCTTTCTGCCACTAGCGCCTCGTGGCGCTAGTTTTTCCTTACCATGGTGGAGGCTACAGCTGCACTCGGCTGGTTAAACCTCGTGATTGAGACCCCAGTTGCCAACACTTCAGACCGAATTCCTCCAATTAACCAGCTTTGTTAAAATCGAGCAAGCAAATTAACCTTGGGTCATCTAAACTTTACAAACATTAAAAAAAAAAGTTTTTCTTTGTTTTATAGATTTTAAAAAAAAAGTATTCTAGTATTGGCAATCTAGAAGAAGCGGTATAAATATTGAAAAGAGTCGGACAACACTGCAGCGCTCATGCATGGTGGCGAAGTTAGCGCACAGTGATTATGGTGATGCCGGAACTGGGCGGAGCCGAACGGATCGTCGTGTCGCATGCAAGTTCGGAAGCGTGTGTCTCAAACTGTCGCGTGCGGCAATCCGGAGCGGCGTTCGGACTGTCGGATCGGACGTCGGATCGGACAGTTTTGACGCGCATGTGTCTCGCGCTTAACGTGCGCCCAACTTCCCCCCATGCTACGAGGGAGGCAAGGGTGCGGCTTCGCGCCGTGACCACCGGAGGGCAGGACCGACGGCGCAAAGATGCGCTCCGATATGAAACCGAAATCTAGAAACGCGTCCAAATTGAGTGCTATTTCAGAATGCCGTAAAATGCTGCCCCTGCTTTATGTCCTTCTAAAAGGAGTTTATATAGTGGTTTTCAGTGACGCTCAGCAAGTTTCTAATTGGGACCAAATGTCTATTTTCATTAATTAAAAAGTTAATTAACGAATTTGAATTAACTAGACGACTGATCGTTACGATTATCCCCCTATACTACGTCCCCCTGCCCGTATAACTCACCTGCACAAACCACCTAAGTGTAACTTTCACGGCTTTGTAACAAATATGTTCAGTTAAAAAAAAAATCACGCGGTGTATATATATATATATACATATATATATATATATATATATATATATATATATATATATATATATATATATATATATATATACATATATATATATATAGGGTGTTTTTTTTGTTCTTACAGATTTGTTTAAAAAAACCTTCAAAGCTACACTAATGCGGTTTGTGCAGGTGGTTTATACGGCCAGGCGGACATTATGTGGGTGGCTAATCTTTGCGATAAGTCGGTTAATTAATTAAAATTCCTTAATTAACTTTTTGATTAGTGGAAATAGATTTATGGTTTCAATTAGAAACTTGTAGAGCATCATCGAAAACCACTAAATCAGCCATTTCTGGAAGGATATAACGCCGGGGAAGCATTTTACAGCATTCTGCAAAAACGCTCCATTTGGACGCGTTTCTAGATTTCGGTTTCTTATCTATGCGTATCACCGCGCCCGCGGTCCTGCTCCCCAGTGGCTGAGACGCGCAACACACGTGCGCCGTGCTTCCCTCCATTCTACGAGGGAGGCAAGGAGGTGGCTTCACGCCACGACCACCGGGGAGCAGGATTGCGGGGGCGTAGATGAGCTCCGGTAAGACACCGAAATCTAGAAACACGTCCAAATAGAGCGTTTTTACAGAACGCCGTAAAATGCTGCCCCGGCGTTATATCCTTCTAAAAATAGTTTATTTAGGGGTTTTCGATGATGCTCAGCAAGTTTCTAAATAAAACCATATGTTTATTTTCAGTAATTAAAAGTTAATTAGCGAATTTTAATTGATTAGCCGACTTATCGCAAAGATTAGCCACCCACATTATGTCCGCCTGGCCGTACAACCCACCTGCACAAACCGCATAAGTGTACCTTTCACGTTTTTTTTTTAAACAAATGTGTAAGAATAAAAATTACACCATCTTCCCGAGGGGAACCATGGGGTGATGCGGAGCATCGCGGATCGTTATTAACGGTGTTATTAACGGTGTTAGTAACGTTGTTGAACTTCACGGTCCCGAACCTCAGATTCTGCTGCTCGACGTTCTCGAACCGCCGCTGCTTCACGTTGTCGTAGTTCAGCATCCGCCGCTCGACGTTGACGAATGGACGCCGCTTCTCGTTGCCGTAGTTCAGGGTCTGCCGCTCGCTTCAAGCGTTTGCGCTCAGCGTCGCGTGCCCTTCGCTGCGCAGCTTTGTTTTCAGTGGACGTAGCGTTGCTGTTAGTTTGTGGGGTAATGCTGACGCTTGCTTGCGCCAACCCACTAACTGACGGGACTGTTGCTTCCATCACACTTCATCGGAAGAACGGAGTGAAGGGGAGTCAACAGCGGTGAACTGAACGCGCGCAGCGCGCTACCGCTGCTTATATTCACACTTGAAGGAGAGGAGACTAGAGGAGGAGAGCTGCGCATGCGTGCGTGGTGTGAGTAGAAGCGAACGCACGCGAAGTGCAAGCAGCTGGTAGAGAGAGAGAGCGGAGAGAGTAACGCGCAGCTGTTGGAGAGAGGGAAGGACGAGAGTTGCGCATGCGTAGTGTGAGTGCGGACTACGACGCCGCGGGACATAGACCCGAGCAAGAGATGCTCCGCATCTAAAAAAACACCCTGTATACATATATCTGTGTGTGTGTGTGTGTGTGTGTGTGTGTGTGTGTGTGTGTGTGTGTGTGTGTGTGTGTGTGTGTGTGTGTGTGTGCGCGCGTGTGTGCGTGTGTGTGTGTGTGTGTGTATGTGTGTGTGTGTCCAGACTGTTTGTGTCGGTAAAGAAAAACGATATATATATATATATTTTTTCTCATTATTTGGCTACGTTGGCGGAAACTAAACGGCACAACTGTTTTCCTAGTAGAGTCAAATGCGCCAGTGCGCGAGGCCCGTGTCTCGAGCGGCCCTTGGAAGCGAATGGTGGCAGAGCACCCACTCGTGGCACGTGTCTCGCGCGTTTTTACGACAATGGTTGGTGGTACTTGAAAGCGCGAATTCTACCAAGGGACTTTAGCGAGAGCCAAGCGCGGGCGTGTTGCCTGGCGTCATGGGGCGGTGCACGCGCGAGCACGCGTGAAACTCAGTTTTTTTTTTTTTTTTTTTTTGCCTGGCACAACGCCGACGCCGCGAATGCAGCCAAGGGGTCCTTGGCCGTGTTCCAAAATTTACTCGATCTTACTCCAGGGTAAGGGTTTTATACCCTTGGTGTTCTAAAGCCTACCCGCGTCTAGCGTTTTTCAATCTGTGCTGTCACGTGATACAATCCGCCGGAGTAACTCCGATCCATTTGGGTAAGATTTGGAACACAGCCCTTATAATGGCCGAGTGCCACTAGAGCGGAAAAAAAAAAACAGAAACAGCCGCCACTCACAAGCAGCTTGCACGTGATGGTATACCTTTGGCATGGCTTTCGGTCTCTCGGTACTCATGAAGTAAACACGAGTGATTGCAAGCCTGTCAAAGCTACATTCGCGTGCATACTGCCCGTGTTTGTGATTGGTCGGCGTCGCTTGTTTTTGTTGGTAGCTCGAGTGGGACTCGAGTATAACAGCTTTCGTTGCACACCAGATAAATCGAGATTGCCACTTTCCACTCATTTTAGAGCAGACTATGACTCGCCTGCAAACAGCAGAAGCAGATGCAGCTGCAGCACCTCAGCGGTCGGACGAAGCGCATGACTTGCACTTTTCGGTAGTCGAGAACTATCATTTCGAAGCAACGGCAATTGCCCAAGAAATTCCTTGCGCAGCATCCACTTTCTGAGAGTGAATATAACGGGGGATTATAAGTGATATCACAGACACGCACACACACACACCTTGGAAATTATGACGAAATTCTGAATGATATTCAAACTAGTTCAAGGGTAACTCCGGTCAGAAGTCAAAGCAAAGAAAATGACTGATATCGATTTACGGAGACGAAATATGAGCGCTGTCAACTCAAAATGTTACACTAATGAAAAACCGCGATACACTCTTAAACCGATATTAAGAATACTATCACCAGCTTCTCAGGGGGCATTCAGCCGGCTGGCTGTCTCTCGGGCAACCTTGTGCACCGACGCCGTCTTCGTTTTCAATTATAGTATCTAGTTCGTACTGCCACTTCTTTCGCTGTGGTTTTCTGCTGCGTTCTTAACGTCCCAGCGGACGATTTCTGCTTGGTATGTTATGTTTTAGCGGCCATACTTAATAACTTCTCTTCGGCGAACGAGCAGGAAGATTATTGACCACCAGCTCGCTCAAGCGCGTCGTGGTGCCGAAGGTGGCATTCGCTGGTGGCCATAGTTTAGTCCATTCCTGCTCAGCGCGAGCTTACGATTAGCCTGCGGAACGCTTATGCAACGTGAATTGTACCCCACCAAGATTGTAGTTCTCCATCGAAAAACGAGTTTCCCACGATGGACGCAGGCTCAGAATGAGCCCCTCATTCTGAGCCTGCGTCCATCGTGGCAAACTCGTTTTTCGAACGGCAACTATATTAATGTGTATTATTATTTGCTACAGACGTTTGATATCTGCAAAGCAAAGTAGTAAAACAGCCGCAGCATCTTACCTGACTGATCGGAACTGTTTTTGCCACTAGGCCATTCGTACGTTTTGCGGTATCGCAATACGAACTTGGCGTCACACGATGGCTGGATGGACGAATGGATAAATAGTAATTGCTATACCCTTTGCATCGGGCGGCAGCTTGTGCCACCTAGCCTAGCATTTCGTCATCCCTACTTTTTTTTAATTTGTAAATTTTGTTTTAGCACAACTTTCCTTCCTCTAAACTGTTCCAATTCCTTATTTCTCTCTGCATTTTCACCCCTCCCTAAATCTTTTCCACCTATCTTCCAATCTCCTATGGGTAACCGCAATTATTTCACTATCCATTCGTCCATCCATGTCTAAAAATCCCAGTGCCTTCTCCAAATCCGTAGTCATTCCCCCCCCCCCCCCCCCGCCACCCCCCCCCCCCCCCCTCCCAAGAGGGTGGCACCAAGCCCGGGCTCCTTAAGATTACGTCTTAGTTTCCCTTTCGCAGTTGCATACGTCATCATCATCATCATCATTTATTAAACCTTGAAGGCTCTCACGGGCACTACACAAGGTGGGGGTACTCGCTGAAAAAACATTATATAAAAGAACCTTTCCAAAAAACGCTCCTAGGCCGGCGCCATGTTGCTGATGCTGATGCGGCTGGTGCGACTCTCGCGCCCTCTATCAGCTAGAAATTTTCTGCCACTCTCTTGAACTGTGAAGAACCGCTCAGCGCGGTTCTCTACCTACGTTTTTGCGGTTTTGCGTTCGACGTTTCCTCGCCCCTCTTGAAAGTTTCCACTTAATGTTTTTTATGCGTGCTGCGTACCCTTTCTGTGTTATCTTCCACTGTGAAAAATAGGGCTGGTAAGTGCCTGCCATTCAAGCTTTTCTGCTCGAAATTTTCGGGAAACGAAGGAGGTGACCGACCTCAAACAGCCCTCGACGCTATTTTGCGAATATTGTTCTCCCCCCTTTCAGAGATAATCCGCGTAGAATCCTCAGTCATCTCCAAAAATAGTTGTCCAAGTTGGGGTGGGAAACGGGTCAGTCGCGTTCGTTCTTTGCCTTGGTGCTGTTGTGAAAAAAGGAAGCTCTTCCCAAAACGTGCCCCTAAACGAAGTCCTTTTGGATTCCGTCCGATCGTGAAGATGTGACTGTCGTCGACTGTGACTGTGTTATTTGGGATCTTTCTCCAATAAGTTATTTTCAGATAACGCTGCATCGTGTGGTACGTACGATATATTGTTCGAAGGTCCACACTTGCTAAATTGTATGTCCGCGTCCTGTCCATCGGTAAACACGTTATTTGTGAGCGTGAAAAATGCATGCCTTTCGGCTATCTTCTGTTGTAAATTATTTTCGACAGCTAAGCGCTTTGTCGTTTGACATGCGGCTAATCGCGCTGCGCCGTCAAAACTTATCGGAAAAAGCAAAAAAAAACAAAAAAAAATGAAAGCCGCTTACAACTCCCTGTAACGCCGAATTAGAGCGCAGCTCTTGAGGAGGAGGAGGGAAGGGCACGGGGGGGGGGGGTAAACTAACCAGGGGGGGGTCACGTGACCTTGGAGGTCACGTGACCCCCAATGCCGATGATGTCATCACTGACGTCACTGATGACGTCATCCGTGACGATGACGATGCGGGTACCGATGACGTCATTAGTGACGTCACTGATGGCTTCACCGGTGATGATGACGATGACGATGCGAATGTCGGTGACGTCATCAGTGACGTCGCTGATGACGTCATCAGTGATGATGACGATGACGATGCGGATGCCGGTGACGACATCAGTGACGTCACTGATGACGTCATCAGTGATGATGACGATGACGATGCGGATGCCGGTGACGTCGTCAGTGATGATGACGATGACGATGTGGATGCCGGTGACGTCATCAGTGATGATGACGATGACAATGTGGATGCCGGTGACGTCATCAGTGATGATGACGATGACGATGTGGATGCCGGTGACATCAGTGATGATGACGATGACGATGGGGATGCCGGTGACGTCATCAGTGATGATGACGATGACGATGCGGATGCCGGTGACGTCATCAGTGATGATGACGATGACGATGTGGATGCCGGTGACATCAGTGATGATGACGATGACGATGTGGATGCCGGTGACGTCATCAGTGATGATGACGATGACGATGGGGATGCCGGTGACGTCATCAGTGATGATGACGATGACGATGTGGATGCCGGTGACGTCATCAGTAATGATGACGATGACGATGCGGATGCCGGTGACGTCATCAGTGATGATGACGATGACGATGCGGATGCCGGTGACGTCATCAGTGATGATGACGATGACGATGTGGATGCTGGTGACGTCATCAGTGATGATGACGATGACGATGTGGATGCCGGTGACGTCATCAGTGACGATGACGTCATCGGGGGGTCACGTGACATCGGCGGGGGTCACGTGACCTCGGGGGTCACGTGACCTCGAGGAGGGGGTCACGTGACCTTGAGGAGGGGGTCACGTGACCTCAGGGGAGTCACGTGACCCCCCACGAGGTCACGTGACCCCGGTGGGGGGGCTCGCGCGGTGCATTATGGGACATTTCCCATGATGCACCGCGCGGTTACGCCGACGGCGACGGCGACGCCGACGGCGACGGCGACGGCGACGCCGCTCAAGCCGGAAACGGGCCCCTAAGAGCTGCGCTCTAAAAACAGTACTATACATTCCAGTCACATTCGTTCTGTGGTGCGCGTACCCAACAAGAATGGTTTATAGGTTTTTATATCTTTTTTTTTTCAGATGTGGTACAATACTTTCTAAAGACCACGCGGAAATGCATTCACCATGAAACACAAAATACAGCGGGAAAACTCGAAAATTTAACCGTCAGCACGGTTTGAAACTGCGCCTACGCAGGCTGCGCCTATCGAAATCACAGTCCACTCGGTTAGGATTAGCAGGAACGCCGGTGAGAGTCTAGCCTCAAACCCAGTGACTGGGCTCGAAAACGGTTTGCTGCCCCTGGGGTCTATTTCTTGGAAAGGTGTATAGGGTGTCTATTTCCTGGAATTGATCACAAGGGTTGATTACCAGGGTTGCCATTATCCTCGAGTCGGTAGTTTCGGTTTTGCCGTGGATTCCCGAAACAAACTGCAGGCATAGGATTTACAAAGCTAGACAAGGCATAGAAAAAAATACTGACACGTCGTAATTCAGAAACAATTCCTCAACTAAAAGCCGTCGTAACCTTAAATCAAGAAATTGTACCGGAGTTACCCTTGAATAAGAACTCTTCATTTCCACAAAAAATCTGTTCTGCGCGATATTATTCCAGTTAGAGTCTTGGGAATCTACAGTCATGTTATCGAGAACGTATTGTGCGGGAAACCTTCTTACCTTCAGCCATGAAGTACACGAACTGCCCGATGGTGTTTCTGGCCACGTAGGTGTTCGCGCGTTCAAAGCCAGTAAATGCTGCAAAATGCGAGCATAAAGTTATGCTTTCGTAATTTTTTTTTTTTTTTTAACGCGATATTGTTTTTGAGCAAACCCTACGCATTTTCGCGTCCGTGCCTTGGTTGGTAACCAAATAAGCAAGCGGCATGCGTCTGTTATACCACGGGCTTTTAGCAGCGGCAGAAACAGCATATCCTCGCGCTAACGCAGCGTTTTTACGCTATTGGGCAGGAGATTGAACTATAGGGGGAGCTTTATCGAGCTTGTTGTCCCCACAGCCCGGTGTTTACTAACACAGCATAACAAAAAATTTAACCTCGCCATGCACGGTCTGGATACGAGCGCTTCACTCTTACCAGTGCTTTGGTTGCACGAGGAGCGGCCATTCGAATCGTCACCATCGATATCGCTGATCAAAAACAAACAAAAAAAATCGGTTTGTTGTCCCCACAGCTGAAGCGTCCCGCCAGAGGCGTGAATGTTCGATCTCGTCCCCAATACAGGTAGGTGCATTCCTTCTTACAACTTTCAAGCTGAGATTACTCACCTTGCTGCTGCTGCTGCTGCTACTGCCGCAGCCACAGATAGTCTATTGCATTGAGGCGCAATGTCCGATGATGAAAGTGATTCCATTTGTATCGCATGTAATGAAACGCTTCCGGATAACGGACAGCCATATGTTGTTTTGTTTGTGACTTTAGTTATCAATCGGGAACATGCGCAGGTGTGTCTGAAAACATTCTTAAAAAAAAAGTGCCGAACCTAAAATAAAAACGTGGAAGTGTCCGGCGTGTGAAAAGGGGGAGGCAAGGAGTAACCCAGGAAAAACCCAAACGGAAACCGAGCAACGTGCAGGATGCCGGAAGTACGCTTGAAGAATTTAACAAGAAGCTGTCTGCCATAACGACACTTCACAACAATGTCGACAAATTCATGGAAATAAAAACTACAGCTGAAGCTATCGAGCACTCACTCCAGGTCATGTCGTGCCAATATGACGAGCTGCTCTCCCAGATACACCAACAGGAAAAAGAAATAACAGAGTTGAAAAACGGAAAGGGGAAGATGTAAATGACTTAAACTTATAACCAATAAAATTTATTATGGACTTGTTAGCAGCACCGTTGACGTTTTTATTCACTCTTTCAATGTATTCTGAAGAATTTCCTAAACTGGATGTAAGTTGCAAAGGTTGTATTACTTCCTAAGAGTGGGGACAAAGATGTGTTGGGAAGCTATAGGCCTATATCAATACTATCCAATTTTTGTACAGGTTCTGAAAAAAAAAGTTCATATTAAACTATCAGCATATTTGGAACTCTACTCGCTATTAGCAGATTACCAGCACGGTTTAGAAAAAGAAGACCTATATAATCGGCTGTGCTGTCTCAGAAAAAAAATATTAATATCGAAAGCAAGCTCCTTACGTTAGCTATATACGTGGATTTTTCTAAAGTCTCTGATTCAGTTAATCACGAAATTCTTTTGGGGCAGCTACAACGCTATGGTATAAGGGGACCTACATTTATTTATTTTTTTGTCTTATATCGCTGAACGCAGGCAATATCTTAAAATCAATAGTTCAACATCATGCATAAAGCCAGTAAACGCAGGAGTACCTCAAGGAAGTGTTTTAGGCCCGCAATTATTTTTTTAAATATAATTAGAACTGAGCGTTGTGTTCCTGATTGCAAAGTTATAGCCTAGGCTGAAGACACTAGACTTTTCTTGAGGGGTCACACATGTAACGAGATGGAACTGGCAGCAAATCGTATGCTCTCCAATCTTAGCCTTTGGGCTGAAGTAAATAGATTTTTAACTAACACGGAGCAAAGCTAAATGCATACTATTCCGTGCAAAAAACGTAACAGTTCCACCTAATGTAAATATTAATATAGCTGACGACGATATTGAAATTGTGAAAACATTTAAAATATTCGGCGTACTCTTTTCCGATACTGTATCATGGAATGACCACGTAAACTACATTCACCAGAAACTCAGAAAGGCCGTACAATTGTTTTCTAGATATAGCTCTATGTTCACCCCGTTTGTTAAGCAGATCATCTACCACAGTCTCTTCCAGTCATATTTTCTGTATTTCCATCTGGTATCGGGCACCACAACCTTACAAAATATGAATACACTTCTAACCCTACAACAAAAAAAGCCTTAAGGATACTTCAACGAAATTTGAAATATTCCCGTCGTGTTGAAAAATAGGTTGAATATGATCCACAATATCCGTAAATGACAATCGCACGTTTGTATTTTGATCCTGGTGGCTGTATTTTTCGTTATAAACGGCCCACTCTGGCAAGCGCTCGGAGAAGGCCCAGCTTAGAGCACGTGACATCCAACGCAATCGTGACGTAGGTCGTCTCAAGACGAGCAAAGCTACGGCGAGGCTGACGTCGAGAGGATGGCCTAGTCGTTCCAGCCACCGAAGCGGCTGCTTTTGTACGAATTTTGAGTGACGGGTTAATCTTCTATAATCTTCTAGGGGGACAATAGCGACTTCTACGACACACAAAAGGGATTCTCGGGAAGAGGGGAGTTCCTCCTTCCCCCCTTCTCTCGTCGTGGCCGGAGACGAGACAACCTCCGTCACTAGCTGTTAAGGTTCCTAGACGAGCATTACGAACGAGGCGTTAGCGACATCCACCAGGTGCTCTTTGCTAATCGTTTAATTCGTTTTAAAATTCCTTTTCGAGACTTTTTTAACAAGATATTGGTACGTTCCATGTGATACTGCTCTTTTGAACACATATAGACCAAAAAATGAGCGCCGAAATTTCGTTGTAGTATCGCTTTAAGAGTGGTCGCGAATGTGTGGTATTTTTTTCACACAGATCCGCTTTTCACGCGATTTAAGATTGTTCGGATAACGAACATGTACAACTTCCGCCTCCTAGCTTCATATAATGTTGCAATAAAGAGTGAACGTAGCAGTATTCTCGAATATATCCAACTTACTTAGGCATACAAACATGTATCGCACGCGTTTAAGTGAACAGCGGTATACAGCCACCCCCGAACGAACTATGGGCTAGGTTCCATCAGGTACACTCTACCCTACCTACAAAACACGTTACATCATAGGGGACATTTTACTCACATTTTACATTTGAATTATTAATGCATATTCTTTCTACCCTGCGAATGTCAGTTATCTGCCATCGTTTTTCAGGCGTGCATTGTCATTGGCGCACTAAGTAACAAGAATGTTCAATATTTTGTTAATTTTTGCTTTGTATTGTGCTCTGAGCTGAAAGTATGCCTCTGTGTACATATGTTGCGCAGCTAGCCAAGTAGGCAGCGCGGCCGTGGCCTAACGGTTATCGAGCCTGTCTCCCACGCGAAGTGCCACTGTTCAATTCCTGGGAGCGACGCGTGCCCCCAACCCAAAAAAAGAAGAAAAGAAAAAAGAAAACGGAAGATGACAGCAGAGCGTCGCGAACGTCGAAGTCGGCGTAACCGCAAAGTCGAACTGGGGTGAAACTGAACTGAGGATCGCCATGCGGAGCCCTTTATGTACACGCCTTGGCTTCTTCTCGCACCTCGAACAGGCCAACAGGATTCTCGAATTTACTAGAACACTAAATTGCAAGGATAAACAAAAGACGCGTCGCTCCCAGGAATCGAACCCTGGCACTTCGCGTGGGAGACAGGCACGATAACCGTTAGGCCACGGCTGCGCTGCCTGCTTGGCTAGCTGAACGCGTGGCAAAATAGTTGCTCGTATTGCTGTGTATTGCTGAGTATTGCTGCACGCTTAACTGATGCCGAATGCTAACCGCCACCTTGAAGCTAGGGCATCGCCAAACTGCACTTGTTTCCTCCTTTTGTCCCAGCGGGTGCACCTTTCTTGTGAAAAAACAATAAATTGTTGATTGATTGGTTGATAGCTATACTTTATTTTTACGCCTCTATTTTAACGTTTTTGCAGTACGAGATTATGAGTATTGCCATCACATTTCAACGGCAATCTGCACAGTGAATTCGGCGGCAATTTTTGTTTCGTGTGTTCTACGCAGACCTTCCAAAAGGTGCACTTGTTGGTGAATCAGCACTTGGTCGATGCAGGTCAGGTACTCGAGGCCGGGCGGACACCGGTACTCCCGGGCCATTCGAGATTCCAACGAAGCTGGAAGAAATTAAAACGGGCATGCTACACGTCAGTGTGTTGTGCGCGTTATCCAAACTAAGTAACGAAATGAGGTTAATCGATAGGTGTCATAGAGTTACGCGTTGCTGAGATTTATTACCGTCCTCTAAATGTAACTCTGTGCAGTTACAATGACTTCCAATAACTAACGAACGTCACTTGTGCTGAGCTTTATATCTCATAATTATTCGGCACCCATAAGTTACGATTACGGACTTCCAGACCAACTGACCTTTTAGAGCGTGATTTTATAGTGTTTCTTATATTTTGATCTAGATTTTCGAACATTGTTTCGTTTGTTTTTTGGACAAATGATGCCGCGGCAAAGAAAATATTTTTTTAGCACAGTTTACAGAACTCGAGCTCACATGTTTTTCAGCTAAAACAAAACTAAATAGTAAACAGAAGTAAAAAGCAACGTGATTCGATGAGTGATAGCGTAGAATGGTATAGAAAATACCTTGTTAGTCATTTAGAAATCTAAGAGGTACGTTATTGTGTTAGTGAAAAACGTTACGCGTTACCCCTTAAGTCGTTAATGTAGCACGTTACTTCAAACACTTCTGCACGTGACATGTAACAGTGAACGGCAACTTTGGCGACCGTGTATATTTTCGGTCGCGTCCGGACGTTTTTGAAAGTTTCTTTCTAGCATCCAGGATATTAGGGAGCCCGCATTTTCCTCTGGATCGTGCTCATGGCATAGACCGCACGAGGCAGCCGACCATGTCCTTTGTTGCAGCTGTTCTTTTCCCCGTGCCTGACCTCACAGACACCCGAACACGCAAAAGGATATGAGGGAGCTTCCGCAAGTGGAGCATCTGCCCAGCGATTTCTTTTACCTACCCTAACATACTATGTTTTCGGATTCAGCGGCCTTTACCCTTTCCGAAATCCTATTCAGTATCGTGAAATTCAAAGTATTGCAAAATCAGCGAGTGAAAATGATTCCAAAACCAACATATCGATATACCCGCGCTTTTCAGTTTCATCGCGTCACGGGAAGGCAAGTTTGCAGGTCGAGCGGGTACTCAATAAAGGGAGTGTGCCGAGCGTTGGTTTCGTACTTCTGCGCGGCTGCTGGCGCAAGCTTCCGAAGCGTTCATTGGACACTATGAAAATTCACGTAATCAGTTGGCAACAGAGTCCAAAGAATTATCCTGACGTGACTTTTTCAATGTTGCCAGTAGAGACTTTCACGTTCAAAAACACGGTGAGGACCCCAATTGTAAATGCATGAACTTCGCCAATTTTTTTTATTTTGGCCCAACATTTGGGTTACCATTTCAGAAATGTTTCTTTCTGAGTTTAGCGAATTTTCAGACAAATCGGGGGCTATAAAGAAAATGCCGATGCATATGCCATGCCAAAAGCTATTAAACAGCCTGAATGGGAAAAGTATGTCATAAAATGAATTTACAACGAAAGACAAATTTACAACGGCGCGAATAGAATTTGTATCAAAGGCGTGGGTCATCGGAGGCCCAAACTCAATATTAAAGATTAGGCTTTTCTAAGAAACTGCAAGAAGAAAAAAGAAAAAAAAAATGAAAGCCGTTTACAACTCCCCGTAACGCCGAATTAAGCGCAGACCGCATGGCACGTTTTTGCTCGCGATTCAGGCGCGTCGGCGTCAGACTGACGTCATTTCCTGCGCGCGGGCACGCGTTTTCGCGGGAGCGTTGGTTTCTGGCCGAACCCAGAACAAGACGCGCGCGCGGGGCATCGAAGCGGCTCTCGCCCAATGAGGGTCGCTCGAACCATCACATGATTCCGCACAGAAAACCGCTTCTGGTTTTGGAGGTTTGACTGCGTTCTTTTTGTTTGCCGATTGCGCGTGCGATGGTTGACAAACTTACATTCAATGAAATGCTCATTGACGAGGTTGAGAAGCGCCCCGTTCTTTGGGACCTATCAGATAACGGGTATAAAAATAATAGAGAGTTTTAGAACAGGGGTCCCAACGCATTGGGGAACCCAACGCTTTAGGGTGCCCAACGCAACGACACCTCACGCAGCGTGCTTATAGAATAGGGTTTGTGACGACGCAACGCGTCACGCTCGCCTTTTTCGCAAGCAGCGCCATTGTGGACAACGAACAAACTTCTTAACAGTGAAAAATTATTAAAACACAAAACATTTGCGCTGAAACGACACTTTATTGTGGCTTGTGGTTCAAATAATAGGGAGGGTAATACCAGTTGGAACGGCACAGCAAGACCCATTTGCCGACCGTCTCTGAATCAGAAGATTTTTTCTCTTGTCACAAGAGAATGCACGCCCTGAAATACCAGGCTATCATGTGCGCCAATGGAATTATCTGCGAACTCGACGGGCCATTCTCCGGTCACAGGCACGACGCTGGTAGGTGTAGCTTGCTTTCAGCCCATCCTGTAGCTGATGCAGCATGACAGTTATAGAGAGTTTTATAATAGGGGGTCCCAAAGTTTTGGGGCCCCAAAAAAATAGGGGCTCAGCACTGCGCATGCGCAGAACCCAAACTCCGTTTCAGGTTTTGGGTTGGCTCGCGCCCCCATCGTGAAATTCGAGAAATAGCGTGGGGCCCCCAATTGCTTGGGGCCGGGTTGTGAAGTAGAGGTCCGACGCCCGTGGTCCAGGTGGACCACCGGCGTCGGACCTCTACTTCACAACTCTGGTTCGCGGTACCGGCAAATCTTTATAGCTTCGAAAGAATTTTTTTTTTTTTTACCGATCGAAACAGTTAGGATTTATTCCGTATACGACACGCCCGACCACCAAGCTTAATCGCACGAAGACGTCGCCGAGTCGTCGCCCCCTAAAGTACCCATTCCCTGGGAGAGTAGCGTCATTGCCTTCCCTGCCTGCTAGACGGACACAAACAGAAACTAGCATACAGACGACTAAAACCTCTCATGGTGATCAGTTGATAAAAACAAATGTATTGCCACTGTAAACTTTAGGACATAAATCACATCGGAAAGCGGAGCAAGCAGTTTTGTAGGTTTTTTCCCTCCTCCTTCTCTTCTTGTGTGAAGAGAGATCAATAAACCTTAAATATGAGCATGTACGCTACAAAGATTCAGGGGCAAAAGCAACAAACAAACATAACTAAGAGAACCAAACATGGCCGCACCTTACATCTCCTCAGCACACTGAAGGAGGGTTGTCTCCTTTACCTAATAAATGACAATCTCAGCCAGGTATAGCGTTCAGCTGGCCAACGTCCAATTCTCCCCCTCCGCCTTGAAAATGTTCTGGCAATGTTATCAATCTGCTGACGTTGTGGTACTCACTGAGACGTGGCTTTCCGCTACAATGCGGAACAGTGAAATATTCGATTGTCAAAATCGGTTTAACGTGTATCTTTCCGATAGGCAGTTTAGATCTGGAGGATGTGTACTAATTGCAGTAGCTGACTATATTTTTTCCTATTGTGTGAACTTGGCGTTAACGACGTACAAAACACTGATCAGGCCTTTACTTGAGTATGCGTTAGAAGTGTGGGATCCTCACGTGATGTATCTTGAGCGGGAACTGGAAAGAGTCCAGCGGGTTGCAGTGCGCTTTATATTTTCTAGTTATCGCCGACTTAAATCCCCTACCCAGCTTTGTTCGCAAGCCGGCCTTCCATCGCTTAGCAGTAGGAGTAAAACCAAGCGTTTAAAACTTATCTTTATGATTCTCAATGACCTTGTTTTTATTGACAAAGCATCTTATATTACGCCTCACCAATCTAGAATTACAAGAAACAAACTTAGTCGAGATATACAAGAATACAGATATAACAAGGAATGTTTTAAAAATTCTTTTTTTCCACGCACAATACGCGAGTGGAATTCCCTGCCGGAAAGTATGGTGGCATGTCAAGATGCGGAAAAGTTCTTTTCTTCATTAAGCGTGTTTTTAGATATTTAGGCATATTGGCATGATCTGCATGGGAGTGAACGGGTGTGCTTTTGAACCATGTGTACCATTGTTGAATTGTTCTTCTTTTCCACTCCTGTAAGAGTCTCGACTCGGGACTGACAGTATGTGAAATAAATAAATAAATAAATAAATAAATAAATATTGTAAATATTGAGTTTCTTTGCGTTTGTTTTGAGGTGAATTATAATATATATATATATATATATATATATATAGGTAAAGTAAGGTAAATATAAAAACAATGGACTGGGAAAAGTTAATAAGTCAAAGATGCGTACTGTCGGAGTTACTAATTCGAAGTTTATTACGACGTTTCGAGCGGGGACCGCTCTTCATCAGGGGTGAAGATGAAGAGCGGTCCCCGCTCGAAACGTCGTAATTAGCTTCGAATTAGTAACTCCGACAGTACGCATCTTTGACTTGTATATATATATATTATTTTTGTTTGCTATCGTCCGCCGAAGTGTACCTTAAGTTTTGTAAACGAGATTCATGATGCTATCAATATGGTCGTAACAAGGTTTCCAAACAGTCCAATATTTCTCCTAGGTGATTTTAATTACTCAAACATGTGTTGGTCGCACGAGAGCCCGTCTCCTGATCCATTTTCGTTAGAGTGTTTTGATTTCTTGAACATGTGTTCCGATTTCAACTTATCGCAGCTAGTTACAGAACCCACAAGAATTGCAGCCACGTCAGCAAATGTTCTGGACCTTGTTCTAATCTCCACACCTTACCTTGTATCCCTAATATCTCATTTACCAGGACTAAGTGACCACTGCGCGTTACTTGTCTCTCTAAGCATACCAAAGTGTAATAGTAGAAAAAAGATAAAAATTAATCGAGACTACCGAAAAGCTAATTTCGACGCTGTAAACGATGCCCTGATTTAGTTCCTAGATTACTATTTTGTCAACTGCTCTGAGCGTTCCGTTGAGCAGAACTGGAATATTTTTAAGGGTCAGGTCGCCGTCCTCACCGACAAGTACAATCCACTGCGCTCTGTAACGTCTCACCCTCAATCACCGTGGTATAACTTATCACTGAGAAGGCTATCAAACATGAAAAAG